TATCTCCAAGAGACTTTCCTTCCCTGGTCTCTTATGTAAAAGGTCCATTCTACAGTCACATTCTTCTCTACTATTCTCATTTTTACTTTACCTGCCTTCCATAACACAGTATGTCTTATACACCTATTCCCTCCATTTCTCTACAGTATCTAAGAAACAACATGGCAGGGACTCAGGTGCACTCCAGAAAGTGTGCACTGACCGAAAAGATTCTTGGAAACAGGAGCCTGGGTACCTAAGGCTGGTGGATTCCTGAGCAGCTGAGCCAAGAGAACAGATGGCTGAAGTGGCAAGAATCAGTTCCTCCCCCACCTCCTCTCTGTGCCATTATGAGTGAGCCCAGCAAAAACAAAGGTGGACACCAAAAACCAGCTGGAATGAGGATGGGAAGAGAGAGGGAACATGACCTGCCACCTTGTTAAACTGTGAACTGTATCCTCTTACTCAGCTTTATGGAACTGTGCCCTAACCCTGCAGGCACAAGGCAGCATGGTCCTGCAAGAAGCAGCAACGTCACCTCTCCATTCATCTCTGCGGTGTCCCCCTCCCACGTGCTGACAAAGCTCTCTGCATGGATGTATGATTCAGCCACTTCAGCCACCTTCTTTTTCAGACAGATCAGTTTTTTAAGCTGGTTCACTAAATGTCTGTACTGTTTCCATGCCTTGCAAGGAAAAATGGGCATTGCAGTGGCAGGAGGCTCAGTGCAGAGTGGGACTCTTCCCTTAGCAATGCCAGCTATAAATTTTCATTTTATTTAGGAAGCAATTACTGTTTTCAATACCTGTTCAAAGCATTTGCTTTACGCCAAAGCTTAGTCCTGCCAGAGAACCAATCACTATTTTCCAGGACAAAGGAATAATTGTAGACTAAAGCAATGGCTGCAAGTTATAATCATGCAACCAGTCATCTTCATTGGGCAAGAAAAACTTTACCTTACCTTAGTGCTCTCTTCCTGTGGAGCAATCGTGAAGGTTTAAATCTGATTGAGTTTTCTTTGTCAAAATCTGTGAAATGAAAAAAAAACCAAACACACCATGGTGAAGATGGTTTAACAAACAGGGAACTCTTAGGAAACTAGGCTATAGTCTCCAATCTTAGTTCTGGAAAAGACCACACAAAGGCCTTCCCTCTAGTCAAAGGAGCATAAACTGACATGTCCGAGATGGTGATAAATCAAAGCCTTTCAAAAATGAGTACAGATAGTAAATATATTTAAAAAAAAAAAAAAAGACTTTATGGAACTTCCATGTTCTAATCCTAGTATTCATGGTGTAGCACTGCAGCCTGGGACTATAATTTAAATTCCTTGACTCAGTTTCTCAGCTTATGAAATGGGCAGCAGACATGTTTATGAAGCACTCTGCAAACAAGAAATGCTTCAAGAAGCAAGAGACTTTTTGGCTGCAGCCTAGCAATACCATAAAAACTGCATATTCATGGCAGAAGTCAGAGATGCCCACCTAAGGATCTGTTGCAACAACAGTATTATACCACCTGGGACAGAAATATTTCTTAAGGTTGTCCACTGTTTGAAACCTCCCTTTTTTACTGAATAGCCTTAGAGGATGCTTACTTTCAGAGAGGAACACGTTTATACTGAGCACAAAACTGTGTCAGATGCAGCCTTATGTTCAAAAGTATGGACTACAAAGCCATTAGTTTCCAAACCTTTGTGAACCGTAACAAGCAATGGGCAATCTCACCTCCCTCCCCCTTGATTTAACTGTTTCATTTCTGCAGTTAAGAGCTTCATTGGAGGGTCTAAACTATGACCAGGGACAAGGGGGACCAGTGCTACAAGCACAGGCTCCCTTTATTCAACACTGAGGATGCTATTAAGAGACCTCAGAGAACTGCTAGCTAGTACTGTGACTGCACCTGGATTGTGACTGTTGCTATAAAACACATAAAGCTATTAATAATTTACTCCCAATGGGAAAATTACCTTCTGTCCCCCTCTATGTTGTCAACTACCCAAATACCCTAAATTAATAAACAACTGGTCACTGACACAGTGTATTTTTCAAAGACAGACCTGAATATTACACAGCCTAGACTGTAGAACAGTTCAAAAGCAGCATCATCGCTTTTACTTCACCTCAGAACTGAGATTTAACTGTTTCAAAGAAGAGCTAACTGGCAGAAATTTTTGTTTTGTTTTGTTTAAACAAAATATTTTACAATCCAGGTAGCATGGTCCCTATTTTTGCAAAAGGTTTTAATGAAAATTATAGCTGACAATATGGGTCCTAACTTAGAGAATGTTTCTTTTGCCTATGCCTTTCAAAACTTTTCACCTTCCTTCTCTCTTCCACGTCATACTGCCACCTCCCCAGGTAAACACATTTTTAAAAAAAATAAAATTGAAGAAAAAATACAATTTTAACAGTTTGATAGAGCCTTAGAATGTGCACAAAGGCATTTTAAGGCATCTGCTCCAAGTCACTGCAGATTTCAAGCAGCTTTGCTAATAGCATTCTTCAGCTTTAATAGGCAACTTTTTCCTGTTTTTGTTAACATTAGTTTTCTCTTTCCAAGTACATGGAGAATAGAGCACACAGAGTACACAGAAACATCTTGTTAGACCAAAACAGAGTATTATAAGGAAAACAATACGAATAGCATATAAAACATTACATTTTACACTACAACATTAAAAAGAATGCTCCATGTCACAAGAATCCTCTAAAAAGCACACAGATTTACACTAATGTGAGCAGAGTATGTGGTAACTTAAAAAGCCCAGCTCAGTATCAGCTTAGCTAATCAGAACCAGGCACATCTGAAATTTATAGCTGTTCTAATGGGATATAACCCATCCCACAGTTTTTGGCACTGAAACAGCTGTCCACCATGAAAACCACAAGTAGACCACAGAGAAACTCTCCCTACCCTAGACAAAACTGGAGAGAGGATATTAGAAGAGAAGAAAGTAGCTTTTACTGCTTTGCTGGGAGAAGGGAGGGGAAGGGCTGCTAAGAGGGAACACATAAGACAGTCTGACTCTTGCTACCCATTAAACACATTCTGTAACATTCATACATAACAAATGTCTCAAAAATATCTTAAAACTTTGCTGTATTTCACAGGGGCAAGCTTCTCTCTCTCCCTCCAAGCCAGGAAACCCAACCAGACAATTATATTCTGTTATATACTTTTGATATTTTATGCATTTCCTCCTGTTCATATTAAACCCCTTGTGGGGGGATAAAGTCCAATAAAACTTACTACACTGTGGAAGTGTTAAAATTACACACAAATATAGAAGAATAAATAAAACAATTTTACTTCAAAAGAAAAATATGCCCACATAAGAAACATCAGTTTAACAGTCTTAATTCAAGTTAAAGAAAAAAACCCAGCCCTCACAGTAGCTGAGACACAGAAGGAATATCTTTGCAACAGCATTTTGTTCTTTCTTTCACTGAAGAATTCTAAACATAACCACACTAAAACAATTTTCTATTTAAAATTAAGAGTATATTTACTGAAGTATAAATCAAACTTGCTCACAAGCTTAACCATTTGTTCAGTCTAGTCCCCCTCCCTCTTGGCTACAAACTACCAGATAAAACTACGATCCATGGTTTAATACATAGGAAATTAAAAATGCTGACTATAAAAAAAAAAAAGTAAATGTAACCTTGCAGGCTTACTTAGTATATTTAAAGGCCTTAAATCGGTGGCCAGCTAAGCTAATTAAAAGATCCATCTAATCGGATCTTTCAAAAGTGTCCTTTAGGAAATAATGAAATAGCCTAGGCGACTAACTGCATACCCATGGCTAAAGTAGCTAATGTAGCTGCAGAGGATCCAGTCAAACAATATTTACACATACATACATATATATAAGAGAGATTAAACGCACACAAATGAACTGCATGTTCTTATATCTACTTGGAACGCTTACCTTGCTCCTCAGAGTATTTAACATTTCCCAAATAGCTGGAGATCCAAGGATTTCTGAACATGGTTGCACAAACAAAGGATTCAGCAAAGAGAAACTACAATAGCAGCTAATTCTTAACCAGCCACAGCCCTAGGCCTGTCTTCGCAATATCGTGTAGAGATTTTTCATAGCACAGGACTGGAGCTGTCAGGCTATCGCATCCCAGGGAGTACAGTAAATGCATAGCAATAGGCTGCAAGCTGGAGCAGCTCAAGACAGTAATCAGATTACAAACAGAAATTAGGCACATGAATGCTGAAACAGATTGGGCAATGGTGATTGGGAGATTTATAATACTAATACTTCTACAATCAAGGCAAATCACACATTATATTCCTGCAAAATGAATGCAGAGCCTTTAAATTCCCATATTAAAAAAGACAAAAAGAAGAAAAAGCCTCCAAGAAGAGGTATAACTCCTTCTTATCTCTAATCAGGATAAACTGCAATGCTTAAGAAAAACAGCATCCAGGCTGCCAAAAAAATGGACTCTGTTAATCATATCATTATGCTAAACATTCTGCCTGACTGTCAGTTGGAACATTTAAAACAGACAAGATTTATGGATAACATATGAACAAAATTAGTAGTGGGGGTGGGAATTTAAGAAAGGACACCAAATATTTTGAGACAGAACGTGTAAAATTGCACAAAAGTACTGTCTAGCTACCATATTTTTTTATTAAACAGATTTGATGGATTTTGGATTGAGGAGTTGGAACCATTTATAGTTCATTTTGGAAGTCTGGAAGTATTTGTTAAAATGGAGCAATAACCCTGGCTCAGTCTTCCATGCTGAACCACCTGATCATCTAACACACACAAACACAAAGAAGCATTAAATCATCACAGAAATGTTTGAGTTGGAAGGGACCTTAAAGATCACCTGGTTCCAACCCCCCTGCATGGGCAGGGACACTTCCCGCTAGACTAGGTTGCTAAAAGCTCCATCCAACCTGGCCTTAAACACTTCCAGGGATGGGGCTTCCACAGCTCCTCTGGGCAATCTGTTCCCATGTCTCACCACCCTCACAGTGAAGCACTTCCTCCTAATGTTAAGCCTGAACCTACCCTCTTCAGGTTCTGTTCCATTACCTCTTGTGCTCTTACTACAAGCCCTTGTAAAAAGCCCCTGCCCAGCTTTCCCATGTCCCCTTTAGGTACTGGAAGGCTGCTGTAAGTCCTCCTGGAGCCTTCTCTTCATCAGGCTGAACAGCCCCAGCTCTCTCAGCCTGTCTTCATAGGAGATGTGCTCCAGCCCTCAGATCATCTCCATGACCCTCTTCTGAACTTTCTCCATCAGCTCCATATCCTTCTTATGTTGGGGGCTTCAGAACTGGACACAGTACTCCAAGTGGGGTCTCATGAGAACAGAGTAAAAGGGGGAGAATCACCTTCCTTCACCTCCTTTACGCTTCTTCTGATGTAGCCCAGGACATGGTTGGCTCTCTGGGCTGCAAGTGCACATTGCGGGCTCATGTTGAGCTTCTCATCCACCAACACCTCCAAGTCCTTCTCCAGACTGTTCTTGATCCATTCTCCACCCATCCTGTATTAGTGCTTGGGGTTGCCCCAACCCAAGTGCACTTGGGTTGGCACCTTGCACTTGGCCCAGTTGAACTTCCTGCAGCTTGTACAAGCCCACCTCTCGAGCCTGTCAAGATCCCTCTGGATGGCATCCCTTCCCTCCAGCATATCGACCTCATCACAAACTTGGGTGTTGTCAGCAAAATGCCACTGTCCATTTTGCTGACAAAGATGCTAAATAGCACTACTCCAAGTACCAACCCTTAGGGAACACCACTTGTTTCAGGTCTCCATCTGGACATTGAGCTATTGATCACCACTCTGAGTACGACCCTACAGCCAGTTCCTTACCCAACGACTGCTCCATCCATCAAATCTGTACTATTCCAGTTTTGATATCAGAATGTCATGTAGGATAGCATCAAAGGCTTTGCACAGGTCCCGGCAGATGATGTTGGTTCCTCTTCCTTTGTCCACCGATTCTGTGACCTCATGGCAGAACACCACTAATATGTGATGGAA